TTTTTTTTTTAGCGGAGGCACCATTTTACATTGCTACCACCCATGTGCAAGGGTTCCAAAAATTATTTTTAACTGGAGTTTTATAGCTTATTTTATATAAAAATATTTAAATAACGAAGTCTACTTGATCCATTGTTTTTTGCAACCGAACAACTTTCATAAGGTCATATAATAGAAACCTGAGTGACTTTTGGGGCACCTGGCTGCGTCTGTCCGTGGACCACGTGACTCTTGATCTTAGGGTTGTGAGTTCGAGCCCCATGTTAGGTATAGAGATTACTTAAAAAATAAAATCTTTAAAAAAAAGAACGAGCTGTTCAACTAGACGGATATCTTTATTTGCCAGTTTTCATCCTAGTTCAGGTAACTAATTCTATCTAACAGCATAATAGCCGACAGCATGAAGATATTTTTATTCTTTTTCTCTCTAAATTGTTTAAGTAACCTCTACGTGCCACATGGGTTTCAAACTCACAACCCCAACATCAAGAGTCTCGCACTGTACCGACTGAGCCAGCCAGGCACCCCCCAAATACTTCGTTTTAAAAAGTAGCCTCAGGCCTTTTTCCTTTCTCGTTCAGTATTACACTTAAGTAGCTTTTTAAATTCCTCATTATGAAACCTGGTATTTTTCTCATTGCTTCCTTATTGTCTAACTAGTTTACAGGTAGATTTCATAAGTATCCAATTCCTTTATTTGTCACCAAAACAATGACAAAAGAATGACACTGTAGAAACATGGCAAGCTATCCAGGAAGAGTGAAAAGACGAGTACCTAGGCGTGTTCTCTTTCTACTAAAAAAACAAAACAAAACTAGGAGGTTTGCCCATGCTGCAAGAACAACTAAGAAGCCGTTGATACTGTTCACTTACTGGGAAAGAAAGCAGTGATAACTGGTCAGGTGAGCGACAAAGGTGAGAAAACTTTTCGGGGTGTGTGTGAGAGCAATTAACCTAGTTTAAATATATATGATTGTTCATATGTGTAGTTTGGAACCGAGCTCATGTATTAACTGTTGATAAATCGAAAATTTTTAGCTTAAATTCAGAGGTTCTTGTACATGAATGTTTGTGGCAGTACTATTCATAGTAGCCAAAAAGAGGAAACAATTCAAACGTCTATCTGTTGATGAGTGGTATATCCACTCAAAAGTGGTATATCCACTCAACAAAAGGTGGTCTATCCATCAAGTGGAATATTAGTCAGCTATAAACATGAATAAAGCACTGATGCATTCATTTTGTAACACGGAAGAACCTTGAAAACTATGCAAAGGGAAAGAAACTTTAAAAGCCACGTGTGGGGGCACCTCGGTGGCTCAGTTGGTTGAGCGTCTGACCGGCTCAGGTCACGATCGTGCAGTTCGCGATGTTGAGCCCCACGTCCGGGCTCAATGCTGTCAGCACAGGGCCTGCTTTAGATTCTCTGTCCCTCCCCAGCTTGCGTGTGCTCTCTGTGTCAAAAGTAAACATTAAATGGGGCGCCTGGGTGGCTCGGTCGGCTAAGCCTCCGACTTCGGCTCAGGTCATGATCTCACGGTCCGTGAGTTCGAGCCCCGCGTCGGGCTCCGTGCTGACAGCTCAGAGCCTGGAGCCTGTTTCAGATTCTGTGTCTCCCTCTCTCTCTGCCCCTCCCCTGTTCATGCTCTGTTTCTCTCGGTCTCAAAAATAAACGTTAAAAAAAGTAAACATTAAAAAAAGCCACATATTGTATGATTCCATTTATATGAAATGTCCAGAAAAGACCATTCCGTAGAGAGAAAGTGGGTTACTAGTTGCCAGAGTCTGGAAGGAGGGAAAATGTGAATTAACTGCTAATGGGAACGGGTTTTTTTCGGGGGGTGATGAAAATGTTCTGGAATTAGACCGTGGTGATGATTGCACAATTTTGTGAATATACTAAAAATCACTGAATTTACACTTTTTTTTTTTTTTT